ATAGCATTAGTAATATACCTTATGTTAATTAAGTAAATAGTGTAAACATAATGTATAAAAAGAAACAAGTGTTTTAACACATTTACAGCAGTTTTTAATAATTTCATATAAATATATTATCAAAAATGCACTTCTTTTTGTTTTTTTACGAATAAGAAGTTTTACTGTGTGCAATTGATTTAATTGTACCGTTCAATATGTTTTACGTTACAATAATCAATAAATAATTCTTATTAATTTTCGCTTGCTAAAATGAATATTAACCTCGTTTTTCCTATCACACACCGTTTCATAGAAATTTACATTTTAAAAATAATACAATTTTCAATTTTTCAATGTCCTTTGTAGAAAATTATTCTCTATGCTTTCTCAGATAATAGTTCGGGGAGACATGAGGTGTCACCGGTGATTATTAATGTGAACAAAACTAAATAACTTTGCACCGATTGTGGGAGGAATGTTACGACCATTAATGGAGAGATTATTGCCCCTGTTTCGTATCTTGATAAACAATTTTGTTCTTTAATAAAAAAGAAAGGTACATTACAATTTTCATTAATGGTTTCTTAATGATTTTATGTTCTGAAATGATTATTATATTCAATTTAAAAATTATTGGGAGTAACGTTATTCTTTAATAGGGTTATAATTCTTCGTTTTTTGATACATTGTAAATTCAAGCAATATTTGAAATTATTCGCGTCGCAGTAATTTGATCTGTGTCTATTTTTAGCAAAATACGAGACTTATAAGTCTAACAAAATTTTATTAAAAATATTTCTATTTATTAAAAGCTACATTAAGTAAAAGAAACATTCATCAAATTTATTTCTTAAATTACGAATAATTAATTCAAGTAACTGGCTAATACTATATATTCAAATCGTGTTTCTAGGATAGCATACATGCTTACTATGCCAAACACTTATTGTTTCCAGTTTACTATGAAACTTCCTATGAAACATTTTTCTAAAATTTATCTTGGTATTAACGGTTTTGTAATTTCTGTTTTCTAATATAACTTGGTCGGTATTTTCGCCATTCAAGACATCCACGAAAGGACAAACTTATTCGTAAGGATAATACAATGAACGCATGAATTTTGTATCCAAGTTCGTCTTACGATATTTACGAGAAAAAGGTCAGTGTGAAACCAGTGGTAATATAGGCATACATATTTATGTCAGATGCATTATACGGATACTGACGCAAGTGTACACGCATGCGCGCTTACTAGTCGGTAGTTACGAGCATCTGCTACCCATCCAGCTCTATTTACCAATTGTGCTCGTTAATTTCACAACCTTTTGTTCCTTCGTGCTAATTAACCGGTTTAATAGATTTCATGCGGATTAAAATATCCCAGAAAGAAGCCGTGTTCTGATGTGAAAAAGTATTGGCATTCATTCTCGTACGTTACCGGAATTCAGAATCAACACTATATATCTATGTTCAGTTAAGTTTAAAACTACACAACATTCTAATCGAAATTAAATATCATCGTATTATCTAAATTCTATCAAACTTAACTTCAGAGTTTTATATAAATTATGTTTGAGTAGTTCCACTCTTTTCCTTAATTCACTTTTGCTTCGGTTTATTCATGATTAATCATCGTTTTCCGAACCAATTAAGAACTCGTAGCGGTCGAAAATCTGTTGTACATTCAAAAATATTCTGGCATACATTCCCTCAAAATATATACAATTTAATGTTTATGAACAACTCTGCCGCGAAATAGGAAATGGTGATAGAATTCGTTATTAATAAAAAGATACAGTTTTATAGTTTGTATACAATATGTATACTATACTATAATTTCATATCGTTGCAACAACTAACCATAAACGACATAAATAAACGATAGTATTTTCTTTAGGAAACTATTCTCTGTAAAACGACTATTGTTACATAAGATTAAACATTTAGTATAAAATTCTACTAAATTGTTACGAACAGTGGTCAACATCTTGCTTTACGATTTCATTGTAACTGCACTCACTAGAATTACTTTATTATTAATAACTTACTGAAAACAAGGAAGAAATGTACAACGGAAAAATAATATTGAATTTAAACTCAAAGAATTGGGAAACATTATTTTTATTAACTTCCATTTATAATCCTACTCATACATCTACCACGATACTGTATGGCAAAGGATTAAGGCTACAATAGAAAATACGAAATATTAAAGATAGACAAAATCCGTAACATATAAAAAGAATTAAAATGTTCACTCAATTTTGAATTTAACCACATATGGAACTATGATAGTAAAAAAACGTTAGAATTCGATTATAAGCCAAATAAAAATGATTTACGCGTATTTCATTCGAAAATATTTTTATACATGATTGATGTTAAATATTATTAATATTATTAATAAAATTACTACCGCTGTCATGATCTGTTTTCATTATAATTGCAGAAAAAATATTAACGCATATTGTACTAATATATTTCTGGTGAAACTGTTGCTCGTGATTTTCCTTGACCCGTTTATTCAGCATAGCGAATGAAATATAAGAGATTTAATCTAATCAGTACCGGAAAGAAAATTATTTCATTAATCAACACCCAAAGCTTAACATTCGTAATTGCTGATTACATTAAGGTCTGCGATGCATCATACGTATTCATGTAACACATCCACGTGAAGTATTACATTACAGTTATCACATTATTACATATTACACTACTTGTTTAATAAACAGTTCATTCTGACGTGTATTCGATGTAAGGAAATTGAATTCGTCAAACAGGCTAAATAAAAATTTTTTATTTTTCGTTGTATCTTCATTCGAGTGTGATCATATCTTTCCTTATTAATTCTAAAAACTATATAACAACATAATAATATTGCAACTGCATTAGGCGTGTGAAGTGTACAACTTTGAAATCTACAAAAACCCGAATTTTCAAATGTTTCATTTGTCTTTATTGATACAGAAAAATATTACAAACAAAATTTCGATATAATTTCAATTTAAAATATTCTTTAAATATTCTTATTAAATATACTGTTATTGCATTTAAAACAATTGCGAAAACGAATGAAAACTCCGGTTAAAATCACTTTGAACATTTAAGAAGACTGTGTAATGATAAGTTTACATACCATTTCAATGATATTTTAGAATACTATCACTTTTTTGGTATTTAAAATATAATGTGAAATATTAGCATAATATACCAATGAAAGTTTGCGGTATTGACGTTTCAAACTGTCGTAAATCTTCACCATTTGGTGATCAGGCACTTCCGTCCGTTTATAAAATCGCAAAATATTCTTATACAACTGACGGAATTTGCAGACATTCGAAACCTTCGATAATTTTTGTTCATACCCAAAATTCGTCTTCCCAATTCCAACCGAAAAATAAACTTTTCTTTCCATCGATCAGTAACACAATATGCCGAATGACCGTTGTGGATGAATAAAATTATTTCTCCCTGATAATGCTTTTATATGGGGTTCAAATTGTTGAAGAAGAAAATTGAACCATTGAAAAAATTTATCCAGCAAATTTAATTGTTGAAGAAGAAAATAAATTTGCTGGATATGATCTTATTAAATACGTTTATCACAAAAATGTTAGTAACTATGTAAATAAAGTAAAAAAGACTAACATATTGCACTGTTTCACGGTATCCTCGTAATTGTAGAAATATAATTATTATGTATTAAATATTTATTTCACATGATTATCTGCCGCGTATGCGAACGGACACGCGTAACAATGCGAGATATAGTTGCAAAAAATAGGAGATATGTATTACCATTGTTTATTGTTCCAATATGCAACGAATAGAACTGATCCAAAAATATTATACAGTGACCAGATGAAACAAAGCGCTAAATAACGAGAGTAAATATCTGATATACTGGAACACTTAGCCTGCGATTGTCACAGGTGTGGTCGTTAAAAGGAGATAAAGAAACAGATAATACATATGATTCCGCAAAGCTTCGCAAATAATTTTGGTGATTAATACAGACTAGGAAGTCTCAACTTTTCATCCATCTAATAGCACTGATCTACAACGTGTAACTTTTTTTTCGCTACAGAAAGTTTAATAAATGATCTTAATAGTATTTCTCATGCTGTATACGAATATGTAATCCACTTGTCTCCATCACCTACAGTTGTCGAGAAAATCAATTTTGAAAAAAAAAAGATTATAGACATTTAAACATGTTTAAACAATGCTGAAGGACAAAACGACGCGCAAAACGCACCGATTTCTGTGGATATTTTTCAATTTATCTTAAAAACTAAGCATTTTGGAGAAAGTCTAATTTCAACATGCAATAGAGCAGATACCTACCTTGCGAAATCCGTAGCAGAAAGTTTAGTATCACGTTTCGTTTTCAATTGAGAGTGAAAAATACTTGCGCCAAATATAATGTGCCGATAGTGATGCTCAATGTCAACGCAGTATTTCGCTCAAGTATTTTTATTATTATTTTTATTCGAGAAAAACGGATTGCATATTCGAACTCAGCATGGATACTATTAACATCACCCATTAAACCTTCTGTAATAAAAATCGTCTTGACCAATATAATCATCACGTGACGCGATGTGGAGACAAACTAAATCATTGATACGAGATTACAAACTTACAAGTTTCTATTGAGAATTAATTACTTGATTCGACATTCAATTTACGAAAATATGGAAAAGTTATTAATAATTTGAGGTTACTAATACTGAGATGTATGGTTACAGATACTATATCCGTCACAAAAATTTTAGGTCTAGATGCATCTTAATAATTTTACAAGACATTCATATTGACCATGGAAATGCGGTTGGCTGACTATCGATGAATCGTTCGCCTTAAAGTCGTAATTTACCTAATGCGTACTCATTCAAAAATAAAATTAAAAGCCTTATCGTGTGGAAATATTAATATTTGCTTATTATAGAATACATTATAGCAGTTAGTTTTTGTTAATTTAAAAATTAATTTTAACGATTTTGTTCACCTAGATAAGTCATTCGGCACCCTGTGACTAGTGTCAAACGCGCCAACAACCACCAGGCAGTATTTCCACAGATACCCAACAAGAAACATACATCACGAATCGAACATGTAACTTAGTTTTTACTTTGATTTAACATTAGTGATTTGTATTAATAAATGAGAAGTAACCATACTAAACGAGAGTTATTTTGTCCTTGATTGCGTACTCCACACATACAAATACTTATTTTCATATTTGAATACCGCAATACTTTTAAATTTGTTAGTCTGTATCTTTATGGATTTCTGCAATATTTGCTCAGCTGATTTTTATTATATTAAATTATTTGTTATAAACGATAGAAACATAAGCAATTGTATTGTATTTGTAATAATTAATTACATAAAAAGTATTCAACGACATAACGTTCAGCTTTCACGTTACAAAAATATTCGGATAGAAAATGTATTTCTCGTTTAAATCATTTCAAGTAACGTTTTAATTCAATGTTTACGTCTTTAATGAAAATATATCGGCAATATTACGATTTCAATTGTAAGTCAACTTAAAACTAAAATTTCAACGTTGAGCATTGACTATCTAAAATACCACGATGAAAAGGAAATATAAGTTTTAGTAAATAACAGTTAGTAATTTATAATCACGGAAAAGGAAAATTTACTGTAAAATATAAAAATTTGGAAATTAATACGTAATTAGTATCGACGTCAGCAAACATCCTAGTAGTAGGATGTTGTTACCTGAATGTTTATCCCGCGGTTACGGTCGTCAACCGCGAATTATTCCGCGTTCAGTAATATAAACTCAACGCGATGCGCGGAATATTCCGCTTCGCGATGCGAATGAACTAAATAGCAAAGGTTAAGAAAGAAAAAAGTAAAGGTATGAATTAAAAGAAAAGAGAGATGCGTAATTATGATTTTACGGGTATATAAGTATCTGCTACAGTAATGTCTGTACTCAATTCTTATTGCACTTGACCGCAGAATATAAGCATATTTTATGTCAAGGGTGTCTATCTGGGTGCCCGCGGGCACCATAGTGACATTCCCCTCACGAAAAGTTACTCCCTCCACACCTACTTTTACCTGTTGTATTCAACATTGCATAGAAGTACTGGCATACACAGTCTTGAGCAGCTCCTTGAGTAGAGGTAGTGGGGAGACCGCTATTTTCGAGTTACTAGCGTGAGGGGAGTAAGTTAGACACCTCTGTTGTATGTATGTAAAGTGATCTCGTGAACTTACTGAACTTTAACGTCTCTTTCTATGAAAACGGTTGAGTTCCGACCCATGGTTCCTTTAAGACTGTTTTTTCTCGTAATAAGTAGAATACATTGCATTAAGAAAAAATGTTGACGTCGAAATTCAAGGTCAAGGTCAAGGTCAATTTTGCACGGACTCTTTTTTCTATTAAATTTTCACCGATCCAGAGGTGTAGAATCACGATACCGTATTCTTTGCACTTCATTTTTATACACCCTCTATACAGAATTGTTAGATGTATATAGAATTCAATGTAGTAGCAGCGAAAATTTTTTGTGACTATCTCGAAAATTAGAGGAGAGCGGCCCTTCTGTTAGAGTTGGACTATATTATACTACCACAGAATTAAGATAGAATATAGCTACTATAATACTATTTACCTAACTTTCAAACAACTGGTATGTATGTAAAAAAAGATATATTAAATTATGCATTTTTTATAGTTACAAAATGCATCGAAGGTCAAGGAGGATGTAAGAGGTGCAGAGATGGAACATGTGCGAGATGTGCAGTTCTTTTACACCAGGGAACTTGTGTCGACTCTTGTCCACCCGGTCACATTGCAGACTGGTCAACCAGAGATGAATACATGGGCAGAGTTTGTAAAGAAACTGGATATATGTTTGGATTCACTGGTAGTCAGGTAGCCATCTTTGTAGGGGTTGTTTCTGGAGCAACTATATGTATCCTCATCATATTATGTGGAGCTATAATTGTGCATCGTAGAAAAAAGAAAACAGCTAAATTTATTCAACAGTTTGAGGATAGGTACATCCTAGTACATTATAATTATGAACTGTTAAAAATTAAACATTAATTATAAAGAAACTATATATTCACTATATATGTTTTAGTGCAGAGAGAAGAGAATTTTTAAAACATCTTGCATCACTTAGAGGGGAAGGTAATACCTTCCTTTCAATGCTCAATGATACTAGAAGACAAGTTAGAGAATTATACTATTCTGGAAATAATGGAGATGGGGCTGTTGGAATTCAAGCTTATAGGTATAATTATTTATTATATCAAAAATAAATTTTAATTTTTTTAATTTATAAATACTTTTCATATAATTGTGATTCATAGACCAGTCTTACGCGACTTAGCGAGGATATTAGTTCTTATTAATAGAAGAGATGAAGAAATACCAATTCCTCCAGATGATTGGCAAAGATTATTTTCTTGGGCAGAAAGGCTTCTAAGACGCTATAAAAGACACAGTTCTCCAGAAGTAAGTTATCTACTTTTTTAAATAACAATTTCAGAAGAATTAGTTTAAAGAATTTGTGTAAAATCTTTCTTCTCTTTCATGCAAGTCTTTAAAACATTTTGGTAAGTAAGACATATTATAATAGTAATTTATAGTCATTATACTGTGTACAAAAAGAGTGTAAAACATAATTAAATGTTCCATATTTTATATAAATTTTTTAATTTTAATTTTTAATTTTTAATTTTTTAATTTATATAAGATAATATAATAAAAAATGTTATTTTATATTTTAAGGTGGCTCAACTTGTGACATTCTTGCAACAACCAGCAGCATCAGTACAAACAAACACACCACAACAAGTAACAATCACACAATCACCTCGCCCATATGAGCTGAGAACTGCTGCAACTAATCTGACTACATTCCAAGCAAATATACCACTTACAACATTTCAAGCAAGTGACAAATCAAGTATAAGTCCTGCAAGTTCCAGTCTTGGATATGTAAAAGACAGTCCTTTAAGTTCCAGTCTAGGACAGAACAGTTCGGGAGTATATCATGAGAAACTTAGTCCAAATGGATCCAGTATAGGACAAACAACCCCATTAGTATATGACAACCAAAAGCAAATAAAATCATCGAATATACATTTTCAAGAACTTGCCATTTCAACTTTTAATCATACTTTCACTACTGGTGCAACATTAACAGAACCCACTTGTGAAATAGATCACTGTGAAACAACTGGACTTGATCATGAATTAAATCCACAATGGGAATTTCAAAGTTCTACAGAGGCTGCTAACTACACAATTCTATCCGATTGGTCACCTGCCCGTGAATATTTGATCGATGATTTCACAATTCTTGGTTTTCGACCTCAAGATGAAATTACTACGGAATTGTAAATAACATATTGTAATGTCTACGCATGTATATTTGTTTATAAATATGTATACGTATGTATACATATGTATGTACACATGTATATTTCTTCATATATATATTTAATTAATTTTCTATTTTTGTCATCAATGAAAAGCTCACATATTAAAAAAATATTCAAAATCTAAACTAAATAATAGAGAAATGCGAAAGATTAAATAAACAAATGCTCTTTTCTCAACAGTTCTATCATTTAATATTAATCAATCTATTTATGCAATTGTGGAATCATGTATCTTTATTTGATACTAATTATATTTTTTTCTTGAAGATAAAATGATTTTAATGTTTTTATAAAATAATTTTTAATTTTTACTATTTCTACTTTAT